CTGGTTGAGTATGTAAATCTTTTTCTTGGTTTTTCTCTTTGCTGTCATCTGAAAGAGAAACTCCCAACTTACATGTTATATGGTTTTTTAAAAAATACATATTTGAGTCACTGAGTTCTTTTTTATCTGTATTTCCTGAGAATCCCGTTACTAATGGTGGCCCACCTGTGGCCATAGTTTTTCTGGGTTATAATGAGACACAGTTAACAATATCCCTTCCAGGTTATTCCACTACTACCTGTCTTAGTCACCTTGGGCTGCTGAAACAAAATACTTGAGACTGGATGATTTAAATAGCAGGCATTTATTTCTTTTATGTTTCTGGGGGGCTGAGAAGTTCAAGACCCATATACCAGCAGATGTAGCTGAGGGGATCCCGCTTCCAGTACTGCAGATGATTGCCTGCCTGCTAGGTCTTCAAGTGTCAGAGAGTTAGACAGAGACAGACCACAGAAGCATGAGCTCTGATCTCTCTTCTTTTCCTGTAAAGATATTTAATATACTGGTACATACCCTCATGACCTCAATCCATCAAACTATGCAAAGACCCAACTAATAGATACTATCACATTGGGATTAGGGCTTTAACATAAGACTTTTGGGGGACACAAACATTCAATCCATAATATTTCTCTCATCACCTCTTCCCTGAGAGTGCAGTTTGCCTTTGTATTATGAAGGTTACTTCCTATGAATGATTTTGGTAACAAAGGACACAAAATAAGAAATATTTCTTTCTTTAATCCTCAGTAATCCTGTACCCAAAGTATAATTAGTTATGTGATATAGTATAAAATGTTATCTGTTTATATACAGGGAATATGTGGCTGATTTTTTTCAATATTTAGATCTTATGTCCATCTGGATTTTCAACAGTTTATTGTAAAACAGGCATTTTGTTCCAAATATATATAGTGCTTGTTTTTTCTTCATTTCTTGATTAATTCATTATTCCCACAATCAAAATACTAACCTTATTTTATGTTGTATCTCATATTTTATGGAGGTAAAATGTAAAATTTGAACTATTTTATTATACTAATGCCAAATTTTTCATTATTTTTACTTTAATATTTTGCATCCCCTTCAGTAGGCTATTACTGTTTTTGAAATATTTCTTGGCTTTTTTCCCTAGTGTTATTATTATTTTTTTAAGATTTATTTAGTTGAAAGAGTTACGCAGAGAGAGAAGAGGCAGAAAGAGATCTTCCATCTGCTGGTTCACTCCCCAATTGGCTGCAGCGGCCGTAGCTGGGTTGATCCGGAGTCAGGAACCAGGAGCTTCTTCCATTCTCCCATGCAGATTCAGGGGCCCAAGCATTTGGGCCATCTTCTACGACTTTCCCAGGTCATAGCAGAGAGCTGGATCAGAAGTGGAGCAGCCAGAAATGGAGACCATATAGTGTACCAGCACTGTAGGTGATGGCTTTACCCACTATGCCACAGTGCCAGTCCCCTTAGTCTTATTTTTCCAAATGTTTTAATCAGCATTTTCACTGGTGTAGTAATGAATTTGTTTATTCAAGTAGAGTAAACTGACATATATGGGTATATAAATTTTCCCACCCAGGAACATGACATGACTTTTTATTTATTCTAGAAATTATTTTATAGGTTCTTTACAATTTTATTCATGAGTGTTTTAAGTATTACTATTCACAAACCAATTAAAGCTTTTCTGCAGTAAATTTGTAAATATATCACCTATTGTAACATGTTGGTTATACATATATAGTTCTTATCCACTTTGCCTATCTCATATTATTGATTCTAAAATGCTTCATTTGATCTTCAATTTTTTGGGTATTAGATGTCTCAAATAATAATTGTCTCTGTTCTTATCTACTTTGCCTGTCTCACAAACCAGCCATATTATTGATTCTAAAATGTTTCGCTTGATCTTCTGGAACTTTTTGAGTATTAGATTTCTCAAATAATAATTGTCTCTGTGCTTTTTTAATACTTAACCTTTACTGTTTCATTTTCTTATTTTACTGGGTTGAATTTCCAGACTGAGTTCAGCAATGGTAATTAATTGTGCACAATGTTGTCGTGATCATTTCTTTAGTGGTCCTGCCTCTTTTTTCATCTTAGTGTGATGATGACCACTAATTTGAGAAAAATTTATTTTATTATTAAGCACCCTTCTTTTTTCAGTTTTTAGATTTAAAAAGAAATATCAGGTAGCAAGTGTTAGCTTTTACTAAAGCCTTTTCAGCAGCAAATGAGCTTTCAAGGTGATGTATATTCTAAAAGTGTTCTTACATTCTTGAAATAATCCTACTTAATATGTGTTTTTTATAGATACATAATAGGGTATTTCATAGTATTAGGAAATTTTAAATTCATGGCACTAATGGTCTATTTTCTGGTTTAATATCAGGATTGTAATACTTTGAATACTTTTTCACATGTCTTGGATTAATTTTTTTAAAGAATTTATTTTTACTTGAAAGTCACAGTTACACAGAGAAAGAAGATGCAGAGAGAGAGAGAGAGAGAGAGAGAGAGAGAGAGGTCTTCCATTCGCTGGTTCACTCCCCAGATGGCCGCAAAGGCCAGGGCTGTGCCGATCTAAAGCCAGGAGCCAGCAGCTTCTTCCGGGTCTCCCATGTGGGTGCAGGGGCCCAAGGACTGGGGCCATCTTCTACTGCTTTCCCAGGCCATAGCAGAGAGCTGGATTGGAAGTAGAGCAGCCGGGTCTCGAACCAGCGTCCATATGGGATGCTGGCACTGCAGGATGCGGCTGTACCTGCTTTACCTGCCTATGCCACAGTGCCCTCGGATTAATTTTCAAAGTAATATTTATCTACACTGATTATGTTGTCAGTGATATATACTTCTGCACTTTTGTATTCCTTTACAAATTTCAATCAGATAAAACTTTGCTATAAAGACAGCTGTTTCTTGTGTACAAATTTTCCATTTTTTATTACTTTTTTGTTTACTTAAGATTATTCCTCTTGTTAGATTATGTGTGAGTGGTAAATTTTCTATGGACGTCTTGTATGTTTTCTAATGTACTTGTTAGTGAACAGCATCTTGATTAGCTATAGTATTCATGAATTATTTTTTAAATATTTATTTATTTGAAAAGCAAAGAGAGAGAGAGACAGATTCCATCCACTTGTTGAGTAACTCCCTAAATGGTTTCAAAGGCCAGGTTTGAGTCAGGCTGAAGCCTGGAGCCAGGAGCTTCATTGGAGTCTCCCACATGGGTGGCTGTCTTCTAAATGTGCTAGGGGGAAGCTGGATTGGAGGCAGAGCTGCTAGGACTTGAACCTGCTTGGCACTAGGATTTGCAGGTTTCCCTAGAGGCAGGTTAACCCCTGCATGACAATGCCAGCTAACCCTTCCCTGGATCCCTGCCTGCCTTCCTTTCTCTCGTTTTCTGTTTCCCTACCCTACCTTTCTCCCAGTGAATATTAGTCTGATTTTCTTCAAAATAAATTGTGTTGCTTCATGGCTGTTAGGAAGGAAATAAATGCTAGATGGAAGAAGTTCGATGTTATTTTAACTTTTTTGCCTATGGGATTTTTTTTTCTTTACCCTGTATTAGAAAATAAGTGAGTACACATTTATATAAGTATTTCTTCATTAATATTTTCTGGAAATTGATCTGTTTTAAAAAAATTTTATAGAGGCATTTATTATAGGAACCCTCCAAAAGAAGATACAGATACTTCAAACAGTTTGTAGAAAGTGAAATTAAAAGTTTATTTTTCTGTACTGGAATTTTGAAATCTGTGTATTATGAGGGGTCTTTTAAAAATTCATGGAAAAATGTATTATTAAAGGACTGCTTGGATTTATAAGTTTTTTTTTTTTCACCAAAATTATCTTTAATTCTGTTTTCAACAATCTCTTTTTTCTTTAAAGATTTATTTTTTATTTGAAAGGCAGAGCTACAGAGAGGCAGAGGCTGAGATAGGGAGAGAGGTCCTTTATCCCTAGTTTACTCCCCAAATGGCTGCAATGGCTGGAGCTGAGCCAATCCAAAGCCAGGAGCCAGGAGCCAGGAGCTTCCTTTAGGTCTCCCACGCTGGTGCAGGAGCCCAAGGACTTGGGCCATCCTCCACAGCCACAGCCCAGGCCACAGCAGTGCTGGATTGGAAGTGGAGCAGCCTGGTCTCCAACCAGTGCCCATTTGGCATACCCAGATGGGTGGCTTCACCTGCTACGCCACAGAGCCAGCTCCAACTAATTTTCTGAAGTACCCCTGTACTTAAAAAATATTTATATTTATTTGTGGGGCACAGCTAGAGATCTCTCATCAGGGCTGGACTGGGCTGAAGCTGGAATCTAGGAAAAAAGGAATACAATCCAGATCTTCCATTTGAGTGGTACGAACCCAAATTCTTGCGCCATCGCTGCTGCTGACCAGTATCTACAGTGGTAGAAAGTTAGAAGTTAGGAGCCAGAGCTGAGTATTGAACTGAGGCACCTGGATGTGTGATGAGGATATCTTAACTGCTGATGCTAAATGCCTACAGTATTGTATTTGATTTGAAAGTTCTTAAGTGATTAAGTTATCTATTGCTGTGTAAAAAGTTTACCCTAAAACTTAGTACCTCTGAAATGACATCCTTTTATTACCAGTCTCTATTTTTGTGTCAAGAATCCAGCCATGGCTCCATTGGATCCCGTGCTTCATGGTCTCAAAAAGCAACAGTTAGGATGGCAGCCAAGGCTGGAATCTCATGAAAGGCTTGATGGGGAGGGTACCAGTTTTGTGCTTTTTCCACTGTAATACACATTGAAGGATATTTGATTTATTTCATATTCACTCTTCGGGTCTCGCATTCAGCCCAAAGAACATCTGGCTCTTTTCATTTCTTTTCATTCTTCAGTCAAACAGTTGTGTGCATTTGTGTTTATATGTGTATATATATCAAAAAAGAGAGGAAGGGAGGGAGGGAGGGAGTTCATATGTTAGCATAACTTTTTTTACATTTGACAACTATAGTTTTTTTCTAACTGTGGTATTTTTCCCCCCATAGGTGCCTTAGCTGGACCAATTATTGTGGAGCCACATGTCACAGCAGTATGGGGAAAGAATGTTTCATTGAAGTGTTTAATTGAAGTGAATGAAACCATAACACAAATTTCATGGGAGAAAATACATGGCAAAAGTTCACAGACTATTGCAGTTCATCATCCTCAATATGGATTCTCTGTTCAAGGAGAGTATCAGGGAAGAGTCTTGTTTAAAAACTATTCACTTAATGATGCAACAATTACTCTACATAACATAGGATTCTCTGATTCTGGAAAATACATATGCAAAGCTGTTACTTTCCCACTTGGAAATGCGCAGTCCTCCACAACTGTAACTGTGCTAGGTAAGTGTCCTTGAATTGTGTTTTTGGGGGTATTGGTGAATATTATAACAAAAAATTTTTTTGCAAGAATTTAAAATGTTTGGATTTTTATCTAAATTTAGGTTTAAAATTAAAGAATTCAAATATGACTTATCAAATTTTGACTTTAAATTCCATAATTCTAGTTCTCAAAAATTTCATCTGTATTTTCCTACTTACCTAAATAATGCTATGTAGTTTTGGCTAAAGCAACAAGAATCTCTTAAAGTAAAATATGAAACAAAATTAGATTCAGGTCAAGGACAGATAGCATTGAAAGATTCATTAGAAATTCTGGGGGCCTGCCCTGTGGCTTAGTAGGGTAAGTTTCTGCCTGTGGCACCAGCATCCCATATGGGTGCTGGTTTCTGTCCCAGCTGCTCCTCTTTTGATCCAGCTCTCTGCTATGACCTGTGAAAGCAGTAGAAGATGGCCCAAGCCTTTGGGCCCCTGCACCTGCATGGGAGACCCAGAAGAAGCTCCTGGCTTCTGCCTGGCCCAACTCTGCCCATTGCTGCCATCTGGGGAGTGAACCAGCAGATGGAATACTTTTTTGTCTCTCCCTCTCTGTAATGCTCTTTCAAATAAATAAATAAAATCTTTTTTAAAAAAATAAGAAATCCTGGAAGTGGAAAAAAAAATGTCATTGAGATAAAAGAAACTCAATGCACAAAATATAGACTTGACATAAGAATTTATGAAGTGAGGGCTGGCATTGTGGCTTAGCAATTAAAACTCCCGCCTGTGATGCTGGCATCGTCTGTGGTGCTGGTTCGTTTCCAGATTGTGTCACTTTTGACCTAGCTCCTTGCGAATCGCCTGGGAAAAGCAGCAGAAGATGACCCATTTATTTGGGCCACTGTCACGCATGTGTGAGATTGGATGAAGCTCCTGGCTTTGGCCTTGCCCAGTCCTGGCTGTTGGTTGCCACATGGGGAGTGAAACAGAGGTTGGAAGATCTCTCTTTCTCTCTCTCTGTAACTTACTTCCAAGTAAATAAATAAATTTTTTTAAAGAATTTGTGAAATGAATACTTAGGAATTTATATAGATGTGACAAGATAAATAGGAGATATGAAGGATACACTGAGAGTTAACAGTTGCTTTACCCTGCTGATGAACTTTTTACATTAGAAGACAGGTGGGGCTGGTGCTGCGGCTCACTAGGCTAATCCTCCACCTTGCGGCGCTGGCACACCGGGTTCTAGTCCCCGTCCGGGCGCCGGATTCTGTCCTGGTTGCCCCTCTTCCAGGCCAGCTCTCTGCTGTGGCCAGGGAGTGCAGTAGAGGATGGCCCAAGTGCTTGGGCCCTGCACCCCGTGGGAGACCAGGATAAGTACCTGGCTCCTGCCATCGGATTAGCGCGGTGCACCAGCCGCAGCGCGCTGGCCGTGGTGGCCATTGGAGGGTGAACCGACGGCAAAGGGAAGACCTTTTTTTTTTTTTTTTTGACAGGCAGAGTGGACAGTGAGAGAGAGAGACAGAGAGAAAGGTCTTCCTTTGCCGTTGGTTCACCCTCCAATGGCCGCTGCGGCCGGCGCACCGCGCTGATCCGATGCCAGGAGCCAGGAGCCAGGAGCCAGGTGCTTTTCCTGGTCTCCCATGGGGTGCAGGGCCCAAGCACCTGGGCCATCCTCCACTGCACTCCCTGGCCACAGCAGAGAGCTGGCCTGGAAGAGGGGCAACTGGGACAGAATCTGGCGCCCCAACCGGGACTAGAACCCGGTATGCCGGCGCCGCTAGGCGGAGGATTAGCCTAGTGAGCCGGGGCGCCGGCCAGGGAAGACCTTTCTCTCTGTTTCTCTCTCTCACTGTCCACTCTGCCTGTCAAAAAAAAAAAAAAAAAAAAAAAAAAAAAAAAAAAAGACAGGTGGTAGTATATTCCAATAAACTTAACTGTTAGTGACATTCTGTGTTAGGGTGAGTATCAGCACAAGAAGTTGAACAAAATTAGTAGCCCTAATCATTTCTTTTAGGTATATGCGAAGTTATAGATGGAAAAGGTAGTGTTTTGAATGAAATTTTTGATTTATCCACTGGGCCAAGAAAAACATGTTTCATCTCCAGTGGATATGGTCAGACACTGCTTTGTTCAACATTTTCTTTCACTATAGATTGCATGTTCATGCTCTGAATTTTTCTGCTATAAAATGAGACATTTTATAAATACCACTCTTTTTTCCCTTCCAGAGTAGTGATATCTTTAATCCCGTAAAGGAAACTATGATTCAGTTCAGAAATTTTTTCTGTGCTAGTTTGGATTACCCTTATCTGTCCCTATGTAATGATGTATATCTGTATCAAGGAGTGCCATCCCTTTAAAGATAAAATCTTGACCACTTGGGACTGGTGTTTGGTGTAGTGGTTAAGACACTAATCGGAAACCTTGTGTCCCACATCAGAGTGCCTAGGTGAGACTCTTGGCTTCTGATTCCAGCTTCCTGCTAATACAGACTCTGAGAAATAGCGGTGATCACTCACATACTTGGGTTCATGCTATTCCTGTGGGAGACTTGCATTGAATTTCTGGCGCTCATTTGGGGAATGAACCAGTGGATGGAAATAGCATTCTCTGTATTTCCCTTTCTCTCTGTTTCTGATTTTCAGATTTTAAAATGTCCTCTTGTTTATCCTAAGTCCTGGAATGCAGTTGATGTTGACATCACCCAACAAAGTGGGTGTGTGAATATTTATAAGCATTTGTTGCTAAGCTTATGAAATATGCCTAAATGTGACTTGGAAGAATGTAAATATATTCTTAATTGAAATATAATTTCTCGTTTTATTTTAAACAGTTGAACCCACTGTGAGCCTGTTAAAAGGGCCTGATTCTTTAATTGATGGAGGAAACGAAACAGTAGCAGCCATTTGTATTGCAGCCACTGGAAAACCAGTAGCACATATTGACTGGGAAGGAGATCTTGGTGAAATGGAATCCACCACCACTTCTTTTCCAAATGAAACAGCAACAATTGTCAGCCATTACAAGCTGTTTCCAACTAGATTTGCTAGAGGAAGGCGAATTACTTGTGTTGTGAAACATCCAGCCTTGGAGAAGGATATCCGATACTCTTTCATATTAGATATACAGTGTAAGTAAACGGTAACATTTGCTTTTGGAATTGTCATGTATTTTCATTTTTCGTTGATATATTTACTTATCAAAATATTTTTAGTTTGAATGCTTAGGATTCACATATTCCTACAGTTTTTTTCTTCCAAACCGGCTCCTTACTAATGTGTCCAGGAAAGCTGAGGATGACCCAAGTCCTTGGGCCCTGCACCCATGTGGGAGATCTAGAAGAAACTAGACTCCTGGCTTTAGCCTGGCCCAGCCTTGGCTGTATGGCCATTTGGGGGAGAGAACCAATGGAAGCTTTCCATCTTTGTATCCTTTTCTCTCTGACTCTGCCTTTCAAATAAATAAATAAATCTTTTAAAAAAGAGGAAAGAAATGGTGATAGTGCTGGTAGGATAGTGAAAAGTAGGCAGACTGTAGATATAGTTAGGAAAAGTATTTAGGTTCTGCAGTAATTTCCATCACTGTACAAATTATAGAAGTTTTATTTCTTATTTTGTTTTTTAATATATCCATAGAATTTTTAATTATCTTACATGTTCATTACATTTAGTGCAATGGCTTCTAAAGCAAATTCACTTCTCTGGAGAATCAATTTTTTTTTTCTTTCTGTACTTGTTCAGACTGTTAGCATTTTCCTTTTTTTCTCATAAAATTCAGATCCCAGTAGTATGTGCTGTCAGTGTTTCTCTTACATTTTTTTTTCTTACTTCCAACAATGACTGACATTTTCTGTAATTTATAATGTTGTTAGTTTTTATTTGATTGAATGCAGTCCTAGATAAATACTTTTTTTAAGCTTTTAAACTATGGTTTAGATTTATTGGCTTGCTCCTAAAATGTTCTTAGAATACTCATGACTGTTTTTTTGAAACCTATAAGGCATGTGAACATAGTTCAAGGAGATAGTCTTATATTTGCACATTCATTGCTGAAAATTTGGAGATATTCTTTGGGAGTATTTTAGTGGTTTCCCTCTCTTTTAAAAAGAGATTGGGAATAAGTGTTGGGCACAATGGTTTAGATACTGTTTGAAATGCCCATTTCCCATTTCAGAGTGCCTGAGTTCTGGCTCCCCTTCTGATTCGGCTTCCTGCTAATGCACACTCCAATTGCCATCGGGTGACAGTTTAAGTAATTGATTCCCTGATACCCATGTGGGAGACCTAGGTTGAGTTCCCAGCTCTTGGCTTTGGCCTGGCCTAGCCCTAGTTGTTACAGGCATTTGGATAGTAAATTAGCAGATGGAACTGTTATTTCTCTCTCTCACTTCTCTTTGAAATAAGTGAAATTTTAGAAAGGAAAAATAGATTAAACTCACAGATATCTTGACTGTTTTTTAAAAGAACATGTTTACCATTCCATGTATTTTGTCAATGCTGAAAAGAATTATTTGAATTTTATTTATTTGCATTTTGTTCAAAGGCATAGGGAGGGAGGGAGGGATGGAAGAGAGAGATCTCTTCTACCTGCTTGTATCTTCCCCAAATGCTCACAACAGCAAGGGCTAGACCAGGGTGGAACCTGGAGTCTGGAACTCCATTTGGGTCTCCCACATGGGTATCAAGGAATCAGTTACTTAAGCTATCACCTGATGGCCACTGTGGTGTGCATTAGCAGGAAGCTGGAATTGGAAGTAGAGCTGGGACTTGAACCCAGGCACTCCAATGTGGGATGTGGGTGTCTCAAGTGGTGTCTTAACGGCTATAGCAAACCCGTCTCTGGACTGTTCTTTCAGCAGCATGTAGTCTTACTAATTTTAAGTTAGAAAAGCAATAATTCTTGATGTTTATAAGATGCAGGCATTTCTTTTTTAAAATCGCTAAGATAATGCTACCTTAATAAACTGCTTTTTAGTGGATAAAGCTTCTCTGCCAGAGTTCAGTGCTGACTTTTTCTTTTTCTAACCTTTCATTTGTTCATGTGCTACTTACCCTGCACTATGTCCAAGAAACTGTTAGTGACACCTTTCATGAGTTCCCCCACGAATATTCCCAGTCTAAATTAGTTCTTTTTTCTTACCTTCTCTCTTAACCTACATTCTTTTCTTTTTTGGCCCTCAAAATAGATTTTTAAAATATATTAAATAATTAAAATATCACCTCCCCTGTTACTATTAGTATGTGAATTTTATGAATACAGAATCTGAATGTTTAACAAACACCTAGAATAGTTCCTGGTGCTTATTAGGAGCTAAACAAAATAATAGTTGAATGCATGCTGGGTATGGGACTTTATAGTTTGTGGGCATACATTTATATTTCTGGTAGGTATGGATAATCACACATTAAATTAGTTGTGCTATACATATGTCATAATATTTCTGGGTTTATTTGAATAGGTGAAGTTTATGTTTTAGTGTGGTTAAGGCCACAGATAATTTACTACAGTTGTAAGTAGATAGTCTTAGGAAGTCTGTGTCAAATCAATATAGCCCCATAAACTGTTGCTTTTTAAAGATTTTATTTAATTTATTTGAAAGGTAGAGTTATAGACAGAGGCAGAGACAGAGAGAAAGTTCTATCTGCTGGTTCATTCCCCAAACAGCGACAATGACCAGAGCTGTACTGATCTGAAGCCGGGAGCCAGGAGCTTCTTCTGGGTTTCCCACATGGGTGTAGGGGCCCAAGTGCTTGGGCCGTCTTTGACTGCTTTCCCTGGCCATAGCAGAGAGCCGGATCAGGAGAAGAACAAGCAGGGACTAGAACCGGCATCCATATGGGATATCGGCGCCGCAGGCACTGCGCCACAGTGCCAGCCCCTCTCACCCTAGACTATAAATTAATTGTAATATAAAGAATCTAATCTTTGTAATTGACTAGATATTTCTTAAGGGATTTTTTCCTCTAGATTAAACATTTCTTTAAACAGTTTTTTTTAAACTTTTATTTAATAAATATAAATTTCGAAAGTACAGGTTTTGTATTGTAGCGGCTTTTCCCCCATAACCACCCTCCCACCCACAAACTATTCCATCTCCTACTCCCTCTCCCATTCCATTTTTCATTAAGATTCATTTTTAATTATCTTTATATACAGATCAACTTAGTATATACTAAGTAAAAATTTCAGCAGACTGCACCCACACAGACATACAAAGTATAAAGTATTGTTTGAATACTAGTTTTACCATTAATTTGCATAGTGCAACACATTAAGGACAGAGATCCTATATGGGGAGTAGGTGCACAGTGACTCCTATTGTTGATTTAACAATTGACACTTACTTGTGATGTCAGTAATCACTCGAGGCTCTTGTCATGAGCTGCCAAGGCTATGGAAGCTTTTTGAGTTCACAAACTCCAATCTTATTTAGACAATGCCATATTCACAGTGGAAGTTCTCTACTCTTTTCAGAGAAAGGTACCTCCTTCTTTGATGGCCTGTTCTTTCTGCTGAGATCTCACTCAGAGATCTTTCATTTAGGTCTTTTTTTTTGCCAGAGTGTCTTGGCTTTCCATGCCTAAAATACTCTCATGGGCTCTTCAGCCAGATCCGAATGCCTTAAGGGCTGATCTGAGGCCAGAATGCTGTTTAGGGCATTTGCCTTTCTATGAATCTGCTGTGTATCCCACTTCCCATTGTTCTGTCCTTTTTAATTCTATCAGTTATTATTAGCAGACAGTGGTCTTATTTATGTGATCCCTTTGACACTAACTCCTATCTTTATGATAAATTATGAACTTAAACGGATCACTTTAACTAGAAGGATGGTATTGGTCCATGCTGCCTTAATGGGATAAGAGTTAAACCAATGGTATTAAGTAGAACAAGAAAATACTAAAAAGAATAAAATAGTAAGCTGTTCCTCAACAGTCATGACAAGGGCTGATCAAGTCTTTGTTTCTCATAGTGTCAGTTTCACTTCCTTTTAGGTGCTCAGTTAGTTGTCACCGATCAGGGAGAACATACGGTATTTGTCCCTTTGGAACTGGCTTATTTCACTCAGCATGATGTTTTCCAGATTCCTCCATTTTGTTGCAAATGACCAGATTTCATTTTTTTTTTCACTGCTGTGTAGTATTCTATACTGTACATATCCCATGATGGGCATTTAAGGTGATTCCATGTCTTAGCTATTGTGAATTGAGCTGCAATTAACATTGAGGTGCAGATAGCTCTTTTATTTGCCAATTTAATTTCCTTTGGGTAAATTCTGAGGATTGGGATGGCTGGGTCAGGTGGTAGGGCTATATTCAGGTTTTTGAGGAATTTCCAAACTGTCTTGCATAGTGGTTTTACCAGTTTGCATTCCCACCAACAGTGGATTAGTGTGCCTCTTTCCCCACATCTTTGCCAGCATCTTTTGTTAGTTGATTTCTGTATGTAAGCCATTCTAACTGGGGTGAGGTGTAACCTCATTGTTTAAACAGTTTTATATTGTAACTTGGTACTACATGGAACTTAAAAAAAAATCTTGTCTCATTATTTAATTATTTTGTTCATGTATTCCTATGTCTCATAATAGGACTCTTCCTATATTTTGCTTTTGCTGGTTAAAGGCTTATGAATACTCTTGGATTTGGTATCTCTAATAAGTAGAACTATACTTGGTTATAGTTGTGTAGTTTTGGAGTACTCACTCATTGTCCATTCTTTTAATCAACTAATATTTATAGAATAGTTTTTGTATATTGAATATACATGTTAGAGTAAGGAAAAATGATTCCTGTTTTTCTAAAGTTTAATATGTCAATACTTTATCATTATATATTGCACTTAATGTAACAAGAGATCATCTGTCCTATCATGCATTTATTTTCTAGATGCTCCTGAAGTTTCAGTAACAGGGTATGATGGAAATTGGTTTGTAGGAAGAAAAGGTGTTAATCTGAAGTGTAATGCTGATGCAAATCCACCACCCTTCAAATCTGTGTGGAGCAGGTAAAGTTATGTACTTCCAAAGACAAATTATGTAGAAGTGAAAAGTATTCTTTATGTATATTCAAATGTTTTTATTGCTGTAACACATGATTATAATAGCTGAGAAATTCAGTTAAATGAGAGATTTAAAGTGTGTTCCTGTCCTACTTCTCCCATCATCCTGCTCCCTCAGTTATGTTCCTCAGAAACTATGTTAGTAATTTTAGCAATTTCTTCTGGTAGTTACCAATCTAGATCTTAAATTGTTACTTTTTGATTCACCAGTTTTTTTTTTTTTTTTGAGTGGGGACTAGCTGGAAGCATTTTTATTAAGATCTGGAGCCAGACAAATATGTTCACTCTCACCATTACTATTCAACATAGTTCTGGAAGTTCTGGCCAGAGCCATTAGGCAAGAAAAAGAAATCAAAGGGGTACAAATTGGAAAGGGCAAAGTCAAAATATCCCTGTGTGCAGATGACATGATGCTGTATATAGGGGGCAAAAATAGTCTCCACTAAAAGACCATTGGAACTCATAAGAGAGTTTGGCAAATTTACAGGAAATAAAGTCAACACACAAAAATCAATAGGATTGGGGCCAGTGCTGTGGCATAGCAGGTAAAGCCGCCACCTGCAGTGTTGGTGTCCCATAGGGGTGCTGGTTAGTGTCCCCGCTGCTCCACTTCCAATCCAGCTCTCTACTATGGCCTGGGAAAGCAGTACAAGATGGCCCAAGTTCCTGGGCCCCTGCATTGGCTTGGGAGACCTGGAAGAGGCTCCCGGCTCCTGGCTTCGAATCGGTCCAGCTCCAGCCATTGTGGCCAACTGGGGAGTGAACCAGCGGATGGAAGACATTTCTTTTTCTGCCTCTCCTTCTCTCTGTGTATAACTCTGATTTTCAAATAAATACATTTTTTTTTAAATCAATAGCATTTATATACACTAACAACGCCATGGCTGGGAAAGAATTTGTAAGATCAGTGCCATTCACGACACCAACAAAAAATTTTAAATCCCTTGGGATAAATTTAGTCAAGGATGTAAAAGATCACTGTAATGAAAATTTCCAAACATCAAGGAAAGAAATACAGGAAAACACACCAAAAAATGGAAAAGTCTTCCATGTTCATGCATTAGAATAATTAATATCAAAAAGTCTATACTACCTTAAGCACTTAAGATTTTATGTGATACCAATCAGTACACCAAAGCCATGCTCAAATCTAGAAAAACTGAACCTAAAATTCGTATGCAAGCACAAGAGACCCTGAATAGCTAAACCAATCTTCAACAATAAAAAGAAAGGCAGAGATATCACAATACCAGATTTCAAGACATATTACAGGGCAATTATAATCAAAATAGCCTGGTACTGCCACAAAAATACACATGTGTACCAATGAAATGAATACAACCATCAGAAATTGAACCACCCACCTACAACCAATTAATCTTTGACAAATGAGCTAAAACCACTCCTTGGAACAAGGACAGTCTTTTCAGGAGATCATGTTGGAAAAATTGAATCTTTGCATGCAGGTATGAAGCAAGACCACTGCCTTAAACCCTACACAAAGGCCTGCGCCAAGGCTCACTAGGCTAATCCTCCGTCTTGCGGCACTGGCACACCAGGTTCTAGTCCCGGTCGGGGCTCCGGACTCTGTCCCGGTTGCCCCTCCTCCAGGCCAGCTCTCTGCTGTGGCCAGGGAGTGCAGTGGAGGACGGCCCAAGTCCTTGCACCCTGCACCCCATGGGAGACCAGGAAAAGCACCTGGCTCCTGCCCTCGGATCAGCGTGGTGCACCGGCCGCAGCGCGCTGGCCGCGGTGGCCATTGGAGGGTGATTCACCAGTTCTTAACACCTTCTGTCTGTTGACTTCTTAGATAGATGAAGAATTAATTTTTTTCACCCTTTCACACACAAATACATCCATATACACATTCTTACCCTTTATAGTTCAAATGAGGTTAACTTGCCTTTTTTTTTTTTTTTGGAGAATATTTATTTATTTATTTGAGAGGCAGAGTTACAGACAGAGTGGGAGAGAGGGAGAGAAAGGTCTTCTATCTGCTGGTTTACTTTCCAGATCACCACAACACCGTGAGCTGGGCAGATCAAGAGCCAGGAGCTTCTTCCAGGTCTCCCACACTGGTGCAGGGGCCCAAGCAGTTGGGCCATCTTCTACTGTTTTCCCAGGCTATAGTAGAGAGCTGGATTGGAAGAGGAGCAGCTGGGACACCATCTGGCGCCCGTATGGGATGCTGGTGCTGCAGGCAGAGACTTAGCCTACTACAGCACAGTGCCAGCCCCGGTTAACTTACTTTTACTTAAACTCTGTAATCACCGTTTGACTCCTTATGGCAGGTTAATATTTTGTACTGAGAGCTAAATAGTATACCAGCATTCTGTTTTCTTTTCTCTGCAGCTATTTGTTTTCCCTGTAGCTAGTAATTGCCTCCTTTTGCATTTGTAGCATATTCACTGCATGTCCGTAATTAGTCTCTTTATCCATGAATTTTCAAACTATTACACTGAAGTTTTCATTCATATTTCTCTGTATATGGGCCTTATTTCAGTCTTGAGACCTGTTTATCAACTTTTGGTAATTTTCTTTTCTTTTCAATAGATTCACTCTCTTTTTTTCTTTCCTATTACTATTACTACAACTCCTATTTACTGTAAAATATTCTCTGTTTCATGTTTTTTAGACATTGTTTTTGTTCTTAGAATATTTTCTTGATGTTAAAAAATTTTCATTAACTTAATGATTTAAAAACTTGGGAGCATATTTATTTATTTATTTTTAAACTTTTATTTAATAAATATAAATTTCCAAAGTACAACTTTTGGATTATAGCAGCTTTTTACCCCATAACCTCCCTCCCACCCGCAACTATCCCATCTTCCGCTCCCTCTCCCATTCCATTCACATCAAGATTCATTTTCAATTATCTTTATATACAGAAGATCAACTTAGTATATACTAAGTAAAGATTTCAACAGACTGTACCCGCACAGACACACAAAGTATAAAGCACTGTTTGAATGCTAGTTTTACTGTTAATTCTCATAGTACAAAAACATTAAGGACAGAGATCCTATATGGGGAGTAAGTGGACAGTGACTCCCGTTGTTGATTTAACAATTGACACTTGTTTATGACGTTAATAATCACTCATGAGCTGCCAAGGCTATGGAAGCCTCTTGAGTTCACAAACTCCAATCTTATTTAGACAATGCCATATTCACAGTGGAAGTTCTCTACTTCCTTCAGAGAAAGGTACCTGCTTCTTTGATGGCCCGTTCTTTCTGCTGGGATCTCACTCAGAGATCTTTCATTTAGGTGTTTGTTTGTTTGTTTGTTTGCCACAGTGTCTTGGCTTTCCATGCCTGGGAAAGTCTCAAGAGCTTTTCAGCCAGATCCGAATGCCTTCAGGGCTGATTCTGAGGCCAGAGTGGGAACATGTTTATAATTTATCAAATCATCTTTTTTTGGTGGATCTACCTTTCATTTTGTAGTTATTTCTTAATTTTCTTGTTTAGTCATTTCACAGTGAGACATTAAAATAAAATGCTCTATAGGAACTCAAGAGAATTATTCATTAGTAAATTCTGCTTGGAGTGATCCAGTAGAGAGGTCGTTAGTTTCTCCTACATGTCTCTGATGGAAGAATTATAGTCTTGTCTTCAGGCTGTTCAGTTTATTTAATTAGCATTCATTCTTTTGCCTGAGAAATAAGTCTTAGTATCTGTTCAGAGTTGGGAGAAATCTGTTGGTTTGTTACATAACTTCAGCTAGTCCTGTCTCCAGCCTTTTACCTCATGCTGACCTTCTGCAATATAGTGAGGAAAAATAAACCTTTTTTGAGTTCTTTGTACCAAATTGGCCGCTTTCTCATCCATATACCTTCCACCTAAAGTAAAACTTTTCAGTCTTGGCACAACTGACATTTTAGTCTGGATCATTCTTTTTTGTGATGGGCAGTCTTGTGAAATGTAAGATGTTTAACAGCATCATGGCTGCTCTGTACTCTACAGCCACGACCATGAACCACTTCCCTTGTGGAAACCAAACATATCTTCAGATATACTAGATGTTCTCCGAGACGAAATCAGGTTGAGAAACACTGGCTTGGGTGGGCTGGCATTGTGGCTCAGTGCATTAAGCTACTGTTGGGGTGCTTGCATTTCATATCAGAATGCAGGTTCAAATCTCAGCTGCTCCACTTTGGATCCAGCCTCCTGCTAATATGCCTGGGAAGATAGTAGCAGATGGCCCAAATTCTTGGGCCCCTGCCACCTGTATGGGAGACCTAAATGTAGATCCTGGCTCATGACTTCATTCTGACTATCTCTCTCTCTCTCCAGATCTCCCTTATCAGTCTGCCTTCCAATTAAATAAATCTTTAAAAAGAGAAAGAAATACTAGCCTAAAGCATATAATGTTCTCTGTCTTCTAAAAGCTTTGTTGAAGTATCTTGTCTGTTGAATTCTGCCCCCTAATCTCCTCATGTGTTTTTAGTAACTTTTTGATTCTTAACACTTGTTTTTGGTGGAATTTTATTGGATCAAGGAAACCTTATAGTTGTTCAGTCTGTTGTCTTGAAGTTTTTTTTTTTTTTTTTTTTTTTTAAATAGTGAACAGGACAGGCATTTGGAACAGCAGTTAAGATGTTGCTTCTCACTCTGGCCTCAGAATCAGCCCTAAAGGCACTCGGATCTGGCTGAAAAGCCCATGAGAGTATTTCAGGCATGGAAAGCCAAGACACTCTGGCAAAAAGATCTCTGTGAGTGAGATCCCAGTGGAAAGAACAGGTCTTCAAAGAGGGAGGTGCCTTTCTCTGAAGGGAGGAGAGAACCTCCACTTTGACTATGACCGTGTCTAAACAAGATAAGAGTCGGAGAACTCAAGGGGCTTCCATAGCCTTGGAAACTCATGACTGGTGCATAGGGAGATTACTGATGCCATAAACAGGAGTGTCAATTTGTAAAGTCAACAACAGGAGTCACTGTGCACTT